TACTTACAAAATTACCGTGTAATGAAACTTTAAAGAAAACGGTGAAAAAAAGTAAATTTTTATTTTTCGATATGTTTATGTATAATTCCCATTTTTACGAAACGTTTGCGTGGTATTAAAGACTTTTATTTATATTCCAGGTGCAACGAGCACTGGACGGAACGTCGAAAGGAACAGATGACCGCGACCGACGTGCAATTTCACTTATTGTATTTTATTTATTTAATCGCCACGACACCCTAGAATAAGGTTCAGACAACCAGGGGCCACCTCATGCAGTGAGCCCATCGGAAGAGTTTTACCAGTGGAGCAACCACTGGGTTTTTACTTCCGGCTGGTATCGTCTTAGGGTCCTCACGAACCCACTGGGGGGGAGTGATCTGTAGCGTCATACACTTCCCCAAAATCAATAGCCTAGGGTTTGACGACTTTCGACATTGATGCTGACCTTGATAGTTTAACTGGACTCACTAAGCTGAAGGCACCCAGTCAAGCATCCTTGCCATTTGGCACGCTGTCGTGTTACGTTGCATTGCTCGTATTCGACTCTCTAGCCAGTTAGTCGGAACGCGACGGTATTCTGGCACAACCATCCAAATACACTATTCCATCAGACTACGCCATCGTGTTCTTCCTTGGTCTCGTATTCGTGGGCGTATAACAAGTACGAATAATTAGTAATTGGTCTTTGCGTCCGTCAAGTTCGCACCAGGACAAGTGCTTAATTTGTTCAGAAGTATAAATTTCCTTGTTGTTATATCGTGTAGAATTTCTCATTTTTAATTACCATGTTAGGTGGGCAGGATGTGCCGTTATTTTGAGGTGGGAACCTATGGAATTCTCCTCAACGCTTCGTATGAAATATCAGCGTGGGTGCGATGGTTCCAATTTCAAATTTAGAGAGTTGAGTATGCGCAGTATAGTGAAAGAGACTGTTGGCGCATTCGATAGGCCGTAGAAGTCTCCAGATGTTAAGAAGTGAGCCGGTAACTCACCAAAATCAGAGCATG